GGGACGCTGGTCCCCGTGGCAGCCTCGCCCGGCCGGCGCACCCACTCAGAGACTCCCACCCCGGGGCAGCAGGCGCAACACCTCCTCCTACCTTCCAGCCTCCGAAGACCGCACTCTCCGCTCAGCCCTCCCGAATCATCCTCCGGCTGCAGGAGAGGGCGAGCAGGTCCGCTTTTGTTCCCAGGGGTGGGCAGGTCCGTGTGGGCCAGGACGCGAGGGAGATGCGGTGGAGCTGGGTATCCCGAACCGGGGATGCTCACTCCCCGCAGCTCTGCCAGCAGCAGTAGCGGCGGCAGCAGCGGCAGCAGCAGTAGCAGCGGCAGAGATAGTGCGGGCTCTCTGCAGGCCACATCTTTCAAACCTTCTACATCACTACCGCATTCCCCCGAATAGGGGAGCCCTACAGCATTTCGCCACCTAGCGCAGAATGCAGGCGCCCAGCAGCAGTGCTGAAGCTGAACCTGGCCAGGGTGTGAGCAAGGGAGGGGTGAGAGACCTCAGCACCCACCCCAGGCTCCCTCCCCGCTCCGATCGCAGGGAAGCCTAAAACTTGCAGCCCTCTGCTGTCCTCGCCCTTTGGAATTGTCTGTTCCCCAGGGAAGTCTGGACTTTAGGCCAAGCAATGACGATTTATTAGCGGGGAGTCCTCTCGGAGCTGGGGCCTGCAGGAGTGTTGGCCTGCATGTGCTTTTTAGGGGCCTCATCCTCGCTGTGTTCAGCCCACACATGAAGCTTTGCAGCATCAGACACACACTCGACTGCATGTACACAGCCCCGGGGACACATGTCTGCACTCCCCACATTCAAGGGTGTGGCACAGGAGACAGGACTCCATTTGCAGCTGTGAGACCTTAAGCAAATGGCCCAATGATGGAGCTTCCGTTTCTCCATCTGCAACATGGGAATCAGATGAACAGTTTCATCGGAGTCGAATGTGATCAGCACAGAGCTGGACACATGTGAAGTGACAGCAGTGATAGGGATTTTCTTCCTTTATCCAGGGCAGGTCTGCCCTTCCTGGGATAACAGCATATCGGTAACCATCACCAATCCAATCAGCATTTACTGATTGGGATAGATCAGGGCAGTACCTCTCTCCCTATTTAGGGGAAGAGTGTGTAGTTGTCACCCCTGTCCTGGAACTGTCCTGACTGGGGCCTGGCAGGGGTGGCCAGGTGGGTTCAGGGAGAGTTCCTCTCAGCCCCTGGGGAGAGGCTGGCATTGGTAATGCTGGCGCCTGCACCCATCTGTCATCTTCCCAAGCAGGACACTGATTTTCATCCTGTTTAGGTCATTTTGATGTTTTTCTTCCTTTATAACACCCTCATGCAGGACATCAACATATGAAGCACTGGAGGTATAAAAATAGAAGGAAAAAGGCCTGAGGGGTGGGGGTGCATAGAGCCAGAGATGGCAGGAAAGGAAAACAGTCCTTCTCTCTTAGCAACAAGAGGAGAGGTTCTCACTGAGACGCATGATGATTCCCTTGCATCTGTGCAGTGTGACAGATTCCAGAAGTCTCAGAAACCTCCCCCCACTGGCACCACAGACACCCAATAAAGTGACACAGGTAGGTGTGGATATTGTGCCCCTTTACAGATGAAGGAGCTGAACCCCAGCTTGGTGAAGTAGCAGAGAGGGCACTTGGACCCAGGCACCCTTGACTTTCTCCCTCTCCATGTCTGAATGTTTCAAGTGACCCCAGCCCAATAAGGTTGCCTAATTTCTGGGACCCTGAAGCATTTATCCAATTGAGACCCAGAACTGTGGGTCTCAAAGACAGTCAACCCATTCTCTATAACCAGCTCAATATACCACAACCACCCCCATCTTTCTCCAGGCCAGTGTTATTTGGGTGCTAAGATACTGACATCCAAACAGGGATCTTCACTCTTAAGTGGTCCTAGAAACTGATTTACTATCTCACTGATGCTGAGCTGGAGATCAGGGACAGGACAGATGCTAATGGGTGCATCTTTGGGATGCTGCGTGGTTATCAAAGAGAATGTGAGACCTGACTTTGAATTTCTGCTCTGTTATTTATTGTGTGTTCTTGAACACGTTATGAAGTCTCTCTATGTTTTAATGACCTCATCTATAAAATAGGGTCCATATCTGCCCCCAGGAGTTGTTGTGAAGACTAAAGGAGATGCTATAAGGATGCGTGCTCAATACATACAGCGCACCTTAAATATCAACATCCTTTTCTTCTTCTCCCCTTCCCTCCCAGCATCACTGTGTGCTGGCTAACAACCGACTCTCCCGGGGGAAAAGCAAAGCTCTGATTTGTAGCATTTGCTCATTTCCTTGGTGTAAATATTCTCACCATGGTTGATTTCAAGTCACCAACAGGATGTCACTGAATGCGAGTTGAAAGGAGGTGGGCACTACAGCTCTTGGGAGCTATACCAGCTGAACTCAGCACACTGTTGCCCACTGCTCATAAAAATCACCCCCAAACAGGTGAGCAGCATTTTATGGCTCACAGAACCCTTTGTTCCATTTCATCCCTGTGATAGACACAAGAATCCTTAAAGGAAAGTATCATCCCTATATCTGACAGATGGAGAAACTGAGACTGGGAGGGACTGAGTGATTTGCCCAAAGCCAGATAACTAGCAAGTAAAAGAGCCAGGACTCAAGCTTGGGCTTCTGGCTCCAAATGCAGGGATCCTTCCAGGTCTGTCCCATTCTTTCCATGTGAGATCATTGCACAAGCACCACCCATGTCTTTCTCTTCTGTGCTAAGATCCCAGGGCCTGGGCCTCCGTTTTTCAATCTGACAGGCAGGCACAGAAAACCTGGCCCTGCCTTCTTCATAGATGCCCTGAGAATCCAATGAGGTAATGCAAATGAAAGTGCTTTGCAAAGCACAGTGCATCCTACAAAAATAAAAGTATGAATAATACAGCTAGTGGGTGGAGGGAAACTATGGGAGCAACAAACCCCAGGCCCTGTGGGGATTTATAAACCTCAGAAGAGTCAGGACCACCCGGCACACAGTCACTGCAGATCTACACTCAAAGGGAAACATGTGACAAGATATACGTTCAGTCCCCTTTTAAATGCTTATTGGCACAAAGACAATTGGAGTATAAAGCAGGAACAATGTCGTTGTAATTACAGGAATAGACAGTCAGAATTGTTCTTCAGAGGCCAATTGCTTTTTCTTCTTGCTGTCTACAGAAATATGGTCATTCTTTCCTCCAGTGCTGCCCTCTACCCACACCCATCTCGGGCTGAAAGCTTAAGGCAAAGAAAATGTATTGGCTGGTGTGACTTGGTAGAATTTTCATTGCTTCCAATGATGTCATGTTTGTGAAACCTCCCCCACCTCTCTCTTTCTCCTTTGCTTTCCTCCATTTCCTCCTCTCCCTGCATTCTCCCTGCCGCAGAAAGCTTCACTCCTTTTGGTGGTGGGTGAGGACATGGTAGCTGAGAGCTCTAGGCTTATATCATCTCAAGAAAGAGATATTCTTTCTCCCAGTTCAAACATATGAATCCTACTCAGCGCTCTGCTTGCCCTGGTTTGGGTCACATGCCACATGTCTGCACTGGCCAAGAGTAAAAAGATACCATGATTGGCCAAGCTTGACCCAAACCCAATCCTGTGGCCAAACATCAATGAGTCGGGGAGAGGCAGCCCCCTACTGCAAGAAGGTCCTGTTACCAGATAGAGGGAAGCAAGACTGGGGAGACTAAATTGACAGGTATCCTCTGTGGTGACAGAGCCAAACTCAGACGCTGGCTTCCCTGATTTCAAAACCTCCTGCCCTTCCCGTGACCCTACACTGATCTTAAGCAGGGAGTATGCCAGGGTTAGAAGCTTCAGAAGGCAACTGGATTGCATCTAGAATGATAGAGCATAATCTTTATAAGTCAAGGAAAGTGTCTGCTTTACTCCTTAGCACCTAGCATGTTCAACCTTCAGTCAGTGGTCACTAAGTGAATGACAATGCAAGCTGATTGGCAAGAGAGGGGAGGATTCTGAGTGCCTATCAGGGACAAATAGAACAGCAGGCTGGGATTGATTCCTGAGGGAGCCATGGCTGAACCTGGATGGTGGCTGTGTTTGCTTACATATGTGCTGACTCTGCTCTATAACCAAGGCCCAACATAGCAGGACTTTCACTTTAACCCGGAGTCTCCTGGTAATGTTGCTGCTTAATACTAACTGTCATTCCTTAGAAAGCTGTATTTCCAGCGATGCTAGAGGACAGTGTCCAATTCATATTGGCTTAGTGGTACCGATACCACTTGGAGGTTGCCATTCTGAACCTAATGCAGAATCTGCTTGGGCCACACTCTTTCTTGTTGGTCTTCCTCTGATCAATGGCAAGCACTGGTGGTAAATTCTCCACAAAATGAAGAGCTGTGGGGAAGGGGAAGAGGAGGTGGCCTAATTGGGAGTCAGAAACAAGGATGGTTCTTGTTCAATTTTGGCTGGTAACTTGCTCAGTAATCTTGGGAACAGTATCTGGGCCTCCATTTTTGGACTCAACTAATGTTCATCAAATGCCTCTTTCACTTTCATTTCATCCTTACAATAAGCCCATGAGGTATAAATTATCAGGTTCATTTTGCAAACAGGGAAATTGAGACTCATAGAGATTCAACCAACGTGTCTGAGTTCCCCTGTTCCAAGTAACATGTCCAGGATTCCATTCTGCGACTTCCCAGTGGTCATGCTCTTCCTACCATCATTACTGCTTCTCCATCACTGCTACTTGGCCACAGAGCACGGCCCTGGGTCTGTGAAAGGAGGGTGTCCCTTCCAGCTGGGCTTTCTCTGACAGAGAGAGGGAACTGAGAGCCATGTGCTGTTTCCAAGAAGGCATATTTTTCTCCCTCTGCAGTGCAGGTTTAAGAGAACACTTTTTACTTTCGATGGCATTGCTGCCAAAGAATCTGTGGGCACATGGTTGCCAGGGTGATTAGAGTGACAGCAGTGAGGATGGACTTATCAAGAGAGGCTCCATGGAAGCTCTGTGGAGTTCTGAAGATGTTTTAGGCCTGCTCTTGCAACTGCAAGCCTCTGGTTTCCAGACTCATGTGTCATCAACCCACTGTCCAAGGGCCAGCAACTAGACAGGGCAGTGCCCTGAAAGGCTGCTGGCTGGTTTAAAGAAAGAGGGAAAAGCCCTGGCTGGTTTTGCTCAGTGGTGAGAGCACTGAGTCATGGACTGAAGGGTCCCAGGTTCAATTCCAGTCAAGAGCACATACTCCTCAGTTGCAGGTTCAATCCCCAGCCCTGGTTGGGGTGAGTGCGGAAGGCAACCAATCGATGTGTCTCTTGCATCAATGCCTCTCTCTCTCTCTCTCCCCTCCCTTCCACTCTCTCTAAAAATC